ATGCAAATTAAAATAACTCTGAGAACCATCTCACACCCATTAGATTGGCTAGTATGAAAGCTGGAGTTGATATGGAAAAATTGACACACTAATGCCCTTTTGGTAGAGCTGTGAACTAACCCAACCATGCTAGAAAACAATTTAGAACTATACCCCCCCAAAAAAACTACAAAACTATGTATACCTTTTAAGCCAATAATACTACTACTAGGTCTATTCCCTCCCCCCCCCCAAAAAAAAATCAAAGCAAAGAGAAAAAGATCGTGCATACAAAAATATTTATAGCAATTCTTTTTATGATGGCAAGGAATTAGAAACTGAAGGGATACTCATTAATTTGACAATGGCTGAACAAGTATGGCATATGAATGATAGAGTACTATTGTGCTATGAGAAATGATGAAGGGGATGATTTCAGAAAAGATAACTCTTTCAAAAGATTTCAAAAAGATTTCAAGATATGTCTACCCAGATTTCACCTTATCACCTCAAATTCAAAGTGCTGCTCTCCCTTCACTTTCTCTTCCTTTTGACTTTATTATTTCTATCTTTGCAGTGCCCACTTTCCAAGGTAGAACATTGACTCTCTACTTTCCTTCAAGTCTCACCTCCAATCAGTTACAGAATCCTATTGATTTCATCTCCATGGCATCTCCTTGTCTGTACTAGGATATAGAAGAATTTTAATACCATTGCGCTATAATAGCCTGACTGAGGACTTTCTACCTCTTGATTCCAATACATTCTTCATGTTATTGTCATATAATCTTTCTCGCACATCAATATTACCATACCATTCCTCTGCTCAAAATCTTTAGTGGTTCCCAATTGTCAGTAAGTAAAGTTCAAACTTCTTTGCCTCACATTTATGCACCTCTGCAATCTGGGGCCACCCTACTCATCCAGCTTTATTTTATATTACTCTCCACATTCCAGGCTCCCTCCAAAATGGATCATTCTTTTCCCAGTGCCCACTGTGATCCTATATCTCTTTGTCTTGGCTCAAGCTGTTCCCTATGCCTTGAATGTCCTTTCTGTTGGTTTTACATGTTGGGAGTTCTAACTTACATACTTCAGCTCAAATGCCACCTCTTCTGCTAATCCTTCAGTGATCACCTATATCAATAATGACCTTTCTTAAGTTTCTGAATTAATCAGGTAATTTCTCAGAATTTTAGACTTTTCAAACTTCAGTTCTTTCTATACAATAATAAAGCATTTAGGAGGAACATGACACAATGCATAGAAAACTGGACTTGGAATCAGGAAGACCTGCCTTTGACATATACTAATTATTTAAAAGGAGCCTTTCAGTATCCCTAACCAACTATTTAAGACTAGAAGTTACAGATGAGTTGTTGATCTACAACAGTGAAAGAGTCTATCATACCAGTAGTTCCAATAACTGAGGAAATCACAAATCTAAATCCACCATTACTACCCTCCAACCCAGACTTAAGAAACAAACTTACTAACTTTACATTAACAATAGAAACATCTGCTGCCTTCACAGGGTGTGTGAGACACCATAAAAAACCTCCTGAAAATTACCAGACCTAATGGCCAGTACTCACCTCTGATGATTCATGAGGACACACACACGGATAGCATCTGAAAGCAACCAAAAAGCATCACTAGGGATCCTGAATCCTTGGCAAAAATCTGAAAGTTTGGGCAGCATAGGTGAAGTTTTCTTCATTACTGAAAACTGAAGGTTAGTTTCAGAAGAAAAAGTTAGATATGCGAAGTGAATAGCTGGCTGAGTAAATATGCCTGAGAATCAGATTAAATCTTCTGAACTTCAGGTTAAACCATGAGAATGATAGGCCCTTGACAAAGAATGTAGTATATTTAATAACTGTCAGTAGGGGGCAGCTAGGTGGCGCAGTGGATAGAGCACCGGCCCTGGATTCAGGAGGACCTGAGTTCAAATCCGGCCTCAGACATATAACACTTACTAGCTGTGTGACCCTGGGCAAGTCACTTAACCCCATTGCCTAAACAAAAATAAATAAATGAATAACTGTCAGTAAAAACATTTGCTAGGAATATTGTGAATCTAACCAAAAGAATTCTAAACTTAGAAGGGAGCAGAAAAGAGAACTATGTCCACATATATGCACACATATAGATTTCACAAGACTGATATGACAGTTAGTAGCAGGTAAAATATGAGAGGAAGAATAATAGAAAGGAGGACCAGAAATTCATGAAAGATACTATCTGAGAAGCAAGACAGAAGTAAAACTCGTGGCCACAGGTATTTATGGATAAATATACAAAAAGAGTAACAAACAAGAGATACTTGAGGTCTTCACGTAAGAGGACAAATTCTATGTCATAGTTACCAGTGACATTTGTAGGATGATATTTATGATTAGCATCTGAGGTATTTACTTCATTCAAAAGGAACCTGAGATATTAAATGGTGGTAGGGGAGCATTGTACATTCAGAAATTCCAATCTTGGAGATAAATCTGTTCATGTCTCCTATCCTTATCCCAAAAGCTCAGTTACCCTAATCAAGAGTCAAAAGACACCTGAATAAACAAACTTGTAGAGAAGGCAGTTCTCAATTCCCTCGACCTCATCAATCAGCAAGCATGTTTGAGTGCCTGCTGCATGCCAAACACTGCACTAAGTACAAAGGTAATAATGAAACAGTCCCTGTTCTCAAGGAGCTCACATTCTATCAAGAGTACCCATGTAAGCATATACAAATTATACAGTTGGGGAGAGACCAAGGCAACTGGATGAATCCAAAAGGGCTCAATTAGGATGTACTGCTTGAGCTGAGCTTTGATGGATGTCACCAGGTGTGAAGCTGACAACCTGCAAGGCCCTGGTGGTTGCCAGAAGACCCATCACAAGAACTTAGGCTGGAGAAATATTCCAGCTTGGTGCATCCCTTCTTCACCTTACTTCAGTTTCCTGAGGGTTGTCACCTCCCCTTCTGAGTATAGGAGTCCGTGGAAGGTTGTACCCACGTGTATGGGTGGGGGATCCTGGAGGGTAGAGACAGCATGTGGCTGAGAATGATTCTTGTTCATGCTTGTTTTCCTCTTATTTATTTGGCTAGACTATTCTAATTAAATATTCTGCTACTGGATTTACAGTTCCTGCATGGTATGTTGCTTGCAATGGGACTTAATTTAATATTAGACTCTCTGCTACTCCAAGTTGAATCCAGACCACAGTGTGCTTTCAGAATTGAATAGAATGCCTATCATAAAAGCAGGGCCAGTATTAGTCAGGATTGTTTCTTGCCAGAATAGGAAGAAGCTAAGGGGATGTCAAGGGCAAAGGTCCACAAAGGACCTTCTTTTGCTGCTGATGTGGATTCCTATAGATTTGACTATTTTCATGGACTTGGGACATTTAGTTATATTCTATTGATTTCTTATTTAGTCTCTAACTCATTGGCCTCCTAGCCCCTAGAAATTTTTGAGCTACTTTGCTGAGGTAATGATTTTTGTTGCTGGTTTTTTTTGGCCTTAATGTCTCTTGTTGTGCTCTTGACCTGATGCTCCAAATAACTTAATGTGATACCTGTACTGTTAACCCTATTGTCCCATTTGTCTTAGTTATGACCCAATGTCATTTGTTATATTGCCCCTTTCACAAGATCATATTACCTAATCAATATAGTAAGTGCTGTGCCTAGGGCCTATCAAAATTGAAGAGCATGTGAAAAAATTATTAGTTTTTTTTTTCTATACATTGCACGATAAAACTATAATAAGGACCCTGGGAAGACCACTTTTTTTCCCTTTCTTCCCTTAATCTACCCTACCTCAATGAAAAACCTTAATCATGTGAATATAGTAAAAATGATAACCAAGATATGTCACTAAATTAGCATGTTTGCTTTATGCAGCAGTCTTTAATCATTAGATATAGGATCAACAAAAGGACTTAAATTAAAAATACAGTGGCATAGCTATTGTATGGTCTACACACCTGCAGCTTTTCTCTAATTTAGTCTTTTATCAATTCTGCTATAGATATGTCTCAAACAAGAGTGCTAAGATGCAGTTCTTGGTGTACAGATCTATCTTTGGCTACTCCTTACTAGAAACCATCACCATCATTAGTGAGGAAATAAGCAACACCTGCAATGAAGGAATTAGCAAACCTCTCCAGAGCAGCCAGTGGCTGTCTGGACTCAATCACTGATTCCTGGTCCATGGAAACTCTCCTGATTTTGCTAGCCCCTGAAGATTGTGATTTTCTGTTTGGTGTTCTGTTGCTTAAAGGGACCTTCAGTTGCTTTTTCCCATGTTAGTTCATCAATCATGGAGTGGAGGAGGAAGCAGGCCAACCCCAGAGCGGAAATCCTTTGGTCATCACTCTCTTTGCTTCTTTTTATCTTTGCCCTTGAAACCTCCTTGGCACTTGCCCCTTAGCTACTGCATCTTATGCCTTCTGCTACCAAAACCACCTACTCATTTTGTGGATACTGATTATCCTTACCTTTTGGTTCTTTCTGGCCTGACCTTGGCATTATTTTGCTGGTATACAGCTTATCAGGTGGGTAGCCTGTTACTTTTTTTAGGACAAAATTAAGAACAGTTAGAATAAGATCAGTCAGGGTTTGAAGAAATATTAAGATTGCTCTTTCTCTCCCCCTTTCACCTCTTTCTTTCTTCTCTAACTGGGGATAATATTTTAGATAGCTTATTCTGGTCCAATGAAACAGGAAATACTTAATGTTCTCTCATTGTTAAAAATGCTACATTAAAATTCTAAATTTGTGGACCTCAATTTTTTCTTCTTCTCAGGTCAGTGTGCCTTAAGGAAAAAGAAGAAAAAAACTATATTTTGTTGTTTAACAGGGGTTCTCAACCTTTTTTCATGTTGTGGACCCCTTTGGCAGTCTGGTGAAAACTATGGATTTATTCTCAGAATAATGTGTGTTGCCTACATTCATACTTGAAGGAAATAAAATTAATTTCGGTTAGAGGTTAGTGAAAATTAAGATGTAATTTTTTCCCACCCAGGTATACGGACTCCTTGAAATTTCCTCGGACCTCACATCAAGAATCCCTGCTGTAGGGCATGGCCAGATCTAAAAGACTCACATGAGAATGACAAAGCTATAAACAAACCAAGACCAAAACTACGATGAGTTTTCACAGACTACAAGCAAGAATCCCAAATACTGATATGCTAGATCACCTAGTTGTTTAGCTTTGTTGTTGTTTTTTCAGTTGCAAGGCCTTCATGGAAACCATGGCACCATTTTGCTTTATTAAACTAAAAGCCATCCCTGCAAACCATGTATTTTTTCCTCTAACACAGTGCTTGTTGTGTAAATGTGTGTAGTCCATAAAGAAAAGAAGAAAAAGTCTGAGCCTCCCAAATATTTAGAAAAAAAAAGTTGTCCTTGAGACCAGGCACTGTCTCACTTTTGTATTGTATTATATGGCTAGCACTTTGCTTGATGCATAAACAACAATTGTTGTTGTTTAGTCTTTTCCAGTTGTGACCAGCTCTTTTTGACTCCATTTGGGGTTTTCTTGGCAAAAATACTGGAGTGGTTTGCTGTTTCCTTCTTCAGATGAGGAAACTGAGGCAAACAGGGTTAAGTGATTTGCCCAAGGTCACACAGCTAGTATCTGAGGCAGGATTGGAAACTCAGCTCTTCCTGACTCTAGGCCTACTGCTCTATTCGTTGTACTGCCTAGCTGCTTGCCTGGTGCATAGTAGGCACCTAATAAATGCTTCATGATTAATTAATTGATTAGTTGTTTATTATCACATGGAAACAACCCTGGACTTGGAACTAGGAGACCCAGATTCAAATACTGGCCCTAGTATTTACTAGCTATGTGACTCTGGACAAACCATTTTATCTCTCTGATCCTCAGTTTCCTCAGCTATAAAATGGGAACAATAACACTTACACTACCTATCTCAAAGAATTGTAAGAAAATTATATTCTATGCAATATAAATGTGAGTTATTGTTATTATTGCATAGATGTATCCAGAAGCTGTCTTATTCTTCTGCTCCTTACCTCCAGCTTGTTTTTCTCCCCCTCAAAGAAATCCTTTTGAGGTTTATTCTTAGAAGGAATCTGTGGTGGGCCCATTGAAAGGGGAAAAGTTCAACCCTGATTGGAAATCACAAGTGTGAATGACTTTGGTGGTCTCAAATGATGCCGCTTTTGTCCATCTCACAACACTTACCACACAAGTTGGCACATTTGACTCAAGCAGGAACTGACTCAGGAAAGGCCTGAAACTGGAATTAAAGGGCTATTACAAAGAGGTCGGCCTAGGGACAGGACTGTACTGAGCTGTTCTCACAGCACCTGCCCCTCTCACTCTTGACTCCAGCTTTTGATCTTGTGTTATTAAAAAAAAAAAAACTAACCTATAGATCAAAAAGATGAAACTGTGAATGGATCATTACCATATAGCCAAATGCCTTAAAAAAATTAAATAGAGACAATCACATCAGATAATTTATTTTAATTATGTGTAAGAATTTTTGATCTCTACAGTAACTTCTACCTAACCTTTATATTTTCAATGAATGCAAAGCATTTTTAAAAGCCACCTGTTGTACCTTGAACTGGCTACTAACATCTGCCTTCCCACACCACTACCACCTCCCCTGAAACCCTAACCCCATGTCAGTTCTAACCCACTGAGGTGAATAAAATCTTACTTAACTGGAATTCTTTGGCTTGCCCCATATTTGTAAAGTAACTGTGAGGATAGATGTAAATGCTAACTTTTTGGGAAAGTTAACAGTTTCCTTAAGAAAGAGGAAAGAAAACAAATCTTCTGAGCAGCACTGATTGTTTGGTGGGTGCATTGACACCTTCTGTGACAGCATGAGGGAATGTGCAGCCTGGGGTCTGTAGGAGAAGCCTCGAACAGTGTTATCCAGTAAAGGTTACTAAAACAACAGAAGTCGTTTTTGTCTTTGGATGTTTCGGAATAAGCTGAATCCAAAAGAAATAGAGTGAGGGAATGTTTTTTCTGGCTACTTCTCTTGTTGCTTTCAGCATCCCAGCACGATGGGGCAAAGCCACGTGACTGCTTTTTTTTGAGATGGAGAACATGAGAATAGCCCTTTCTCTGACTGTGAGTCCAATCTACAAATTCCAGCCAAGCTAGATTTCTGTCTCTATCCAAAACTGTTGCCTGGCACTAATGCCAATAGAATTATTCTGCATGGACTTCTTTTTTTTTTTCAGAAATCAATCACAAACCTCTTTTCTTCACCAAACAACTTCAATTATCCAAAATATGTTGTGTAAAACATATATAAAGACTCTCACCATTTTGAGATGTTGCTTGTAGGTCAGCCCTCTTTATGCAGCAAGGTAAAATGTGAATGAAACACAAGTTTTTCTACAATAAATTGCGTTTTTTTTTCTCATGCTGCTGTGAAGGACCATGAATGCTAAAGACCAATGTGATAGGGACCCTGCAGCCAAAACACAGCTCAGGGACATTCTCACTGAAAACATTGTGGGGTTACTGAGGGAACCATGAGATGGTGCTTTCAGCTTTTTTGGGTGTCTAGGAGAAGGTATTTCAAATGAGACTGTGCTTGGAAAAAGTTTTGTTAGTTTGAAAGTTGAGAGGGGGTGATGTTAGTAAAAATTAGGTTGAGGGGGGGAAAAACCGCAACAGATTCCTGGAGGGAGTTGCAGAGTTTCAGGTCTTCTAATCCAAAAGAAGATACTTATAAAGCACCCCATGAAGAAATATAAGCTTGTAAAGAAGATTCCGAAATGAATTTTATTAAGTAACAAGTAACATTTCCCTTGCATAAACTAATTATCCAGGTGCCCACCAGCCACAGATGTCTGAAAACTTTGGCGAGGCTAGTAAAAATTATTGACTTTAATATGTCTTCATTGGTTTAGCGGAAGTTTCTGATTTCATATAATATTTTGCCTGGGACTCTGACATACAGGTTGAAGACCTGTTAGTGTAAACCTATGGATTTACACGGGTGGAAAAGTAGCCCTCTGCACATAAGAACAAAGAAACTGGGCATTCTTTTGCTGTGATACTTGTTTAGGGCACATTTGCAAGTTCCAATTTGCCTCAAATGCATAATAATAGCCCCTAACTACCTCTTGTATAAGACTTACTCAAGCATCTCAGCCAATCAACAAATATTTATTGAGCACCTGACTGGGCCAACACCCAGTACCAGATGCTAGGGAGTACAGGAAACAATTATATAACAAGGTGGCTCCACATTCACATTGAGCAGGTAAAACTAATTAAAGAATAAGAAACAACAGTAAGTGAGAGAGAGAGAGAGAGAGACAGAGAGAGAGACAGAGGCAGACAGAAAGACAGAGAGACAGTTACAGAAAGAGACAGAGAGAGACAGAAACAGAGAAAAAGAGACATAGAGAAAGAAAGAGAGATGGCCTCCATATGTTGTAGTTGATGAATAACTGGCACTGAATTTAGGAAGACCTGGGTTCAAGACCTAGCTCTGACACATACTAGCTATGTTACCCATGGCAACTCACCTCTCTGTGCCCCAGGCAACTATCTGAGAGCATAGGTTGCAGAGAATGTGCTGACCTGTATGGATAGAGAGAATTACTCATCCTCAACTTCTTATACTGATTAAATCACAGGCCTTGTAAAAAATAATAATAATAATAATATGTATTCAAGTGCTGAGTCATATAGCATCAATAAGTATAGAAGGAAATCAGAGAAAGAAAAGATATCTTGGGGGTCCAAGTAGTTGTTTCAGGGGTAATGTACTTACCCTCATTAGTAGTCTTTAAGCAATAGATGGATAATTAAATAATAGCAATGGTTATAATAGCTAGCATTTATCCAGCACCCACTATGTATTGGGCACTGTGTCAAGTACTTTACAAATACTATCTCACTTGATCTTTACAAAAATCTGGGAGGTAGGAGCTGTTATTACCCTCATTTTATGGTTGAGGAAACTGAGGCAGACAGTTTGCCTAGAGTCACAGAGCTAGTAAGTGTCTGAGTCTAGATTCGAACTCAAATCGTTGTGAGTCCAGGCCCAGTGATCTATCCCCTGTGGCCAACTCCCTATCCCAGGAACATGACTGAGGGTATCTTATTTTGCTTCACTCTAGTTGACTTCTGAGTTCTTTTCCATCTCAGATATTAGATGGTTCTGTGATTCTGAAGAAATGAGGAAGTCTTTATAAAAGAGGCTTATCTTGAATTAGGCCTTACTTTGAAGGCTGGGTTGTATTTGAATAGGTTGAAAGGAATGATAAAGAGCAGTTAAGGGAGCATGGGCATGGTGTGCTCATGGAACAAGGAAGCCAATTAAAACCAGAACTATGGAAAGATTATGCAAAAGGGCACTGAAGAGGCTTCTCAACTTTCTTATCCTATCCAGAACAACTGGACAGTAGAAAGAACTACCATAGCTAGGTGTTCCCTGAGGCCTCACCTTCCCCTTGCCTGGACTACTAATTACTCATAGATGTATATCAAGAACTTCATTCTTTCTATTGAGATAAAAGACCACTGGAATTTCCTACCTGTCCTGCCACTACCTCCTAAGATTCAAGTCTAGGCCTTATTGTCTGCCCTGCCTCTATGCCCTGCAATGCTGTGGCATTGTCATACTTAAGTAAACTAAGGACCTCTGGACCTTCCCAGGCTTTTCATTGGCCCTATAGAATTTTCTTTTACATGCTACCTGCCCCAATTAGAGTGTGAGCTCCTTGACAGCAGGGACTGTCTAGCTTTTTCTACTTATATCTCCAGCACTTAGCATGGTATTTGACATATAGTAAGCACTTAGGCAAAGTTTTTTTCATTCTTGCAAACATGCATGAATGTTATCTTCCAGGAGCCCATTTCTACTGTTGCTATGGTATAATAATGTCAGAAACTTATGTGTTTAAAGTATCTTTGCAAACTAAAATAAACTTGCTTCTCCCTTTTCTATATTTTTCTACCATGTTTCCTATTTTGAAGTTCTTCAAGCCTCTAAGGGGGGGGGGGAGAATCTTGTGACCCTCAGCTGTTTCTAATTCAGGAAGAGGCTGGAGGCCTCAAACAAGGGGAAAAAACCCCACAAAGGCACAAATAATAATGCTGCCCTTCCATTGTACTGCCTCTCAGTCCAAGTTCTTAGAACATTTTGAAAATAATAATTACCCCCACATAAAACATATGCAAGGTTAAAATCACCATATCATTACCTTCCTTTGTTGCTAAAGGCAAAGTTTAAGCTCTAAGCAGTTCAGTGATTTACTCCCCAAACAAGCAAGGCCCTAGGAC